TCCTTGTGTAGACAAAATGGCACCCCTCCCACATAAGAAGGAGACATCAGCAAGCTGGGGGGGGGGCAGACACCAAGGTCTACAAAATACAAAACAAAAAACACCCTACCAGAGTAATCCAATGTACGTCTTCTCATAAGGAAGTCCTACTGTGTTCAGTGTGGCTTGCTCCCAAATTAGTGTGCAGGTCAGAGAACGGGTTGCAGTCTAAGGAAAGGGCATGAGGGGATAAAAAAACCAACCCCATGAGGAATGAGCATGCTCAGTGGGCATGGATTGCTTACTGAATAATGGGAGGGCCCCAAAGAAGACTGGTGGGTGGAATGGAGCACCCTGGAAAGGGGCATAGCTGGCACCCTGAGCAAGAGCACTCTGCGCTGCAACGTTGTGCTGCAGGTTTTATCCCACCCTGTAATACTGATGAAGAGCTGATGCTCTTGCTGCTGCCCCTTTCCCCTTATGGCAGTTGTGGGTACCTGAAGAAGTGTGCATGCACATGAAAGCCCATACCAATAACAAACTTAGTTGGTCTCTAAGGTGCTACTGGAAGGAATTCTTTTTTTGTTTGTTTTGACTACGGCAGACCAACACGGCTAGGCAATTGTGGGAGGTAGTCTAGGCCATGAGAGAGAGAATGACGGGCCCAGGCAAGCTCTCTGACAGAATGGGGATTTAAACCCAAACCTCCCAGGTTAGGGGTTAAATCCAAAGAGAGTCCTACTCAGAGTAGACCCAATGAAATTAATGGGTGTGCAGATTAATTTCAATGAGTCTGCTGTGAGGGGCAATAACTTGATACTCACCTCCATCCATTGCAGTCTGTTGCAGTAAATATGATTATCAGAATTGATTTGCAGCTCTCATTTATAGCTATTTTAGATTACAATCCCATCAGGAAAGACTGCTGCCCCCAGGGACTTTATCAAGGGCCATATGCATGGATAGTGCAGTATAAATGACGCAATAAAAATAATAAGGTCCACAATGCCAGTCAGGAAGGTCACATGTGGATGCCTGCAAAAGCACGTTTCTTTTTTTTTTTAAAGATATTTATTAAAGTTTTCAAATTTAATACAATAAAAAAGAATCAAAAAGAAAAAAGCAAAAAAGTTTAAAAACACATAAGGTTCACAATACCTATTTTTCAATAACATATTTCACTGACTTCCTCATACCTCCCCTTCTTGTATTCCAATTCAAATTGTTAGTTCAGCTAACTTATCCATAAATTTAACCTGTTTCTATACCCTTTTTCCCCCCCCATATCACATTACAGCTATGAACCCCTTAATTTCTATCCAACATCATTCAACACTCATTAATTTTGCAATATTTCCGTAAATAGTCCTAGAATTTCTTCCAATCTTCTTCCGCCGACTCTTCTCCCTGGTCTCGGATCCTGCCAGTCATTTCTGCCAATCCCATACAATCGATCATCTTCATCTGCCATTCTTCCAGAGTGGGTAAATCTTGCACCTTCCAGTACTTTGCGATAAGTATTCTTGCAGCTGTTGTAGCATACATAAAGAAAGTTCTATCCTTCTTTGACACAAATTGGCCGACCATGCCCAAGAGAAAGGCCTCTGGTTTCTTCAGGAAGGTACAGTGGTGCCTCGCAAGACGAAATTAATTCGTTCCGCAAGTCTCTTCGTCTTGCGGTTTTTTCGTCTTGCGATGCACGGTTTCCCATAGGAATGCATTGAAAATCAATTAATGCGTTCCGAGGGAAACCGCCTTCAGACCAGGTCCGGGGACAGTCTGTCCCCCGACCTCTTCTGAAGGCTGGGGGGGGGGACAAGGGCTTTTCTTCCCACCCCCAGCATTTTAAAAAACCCTGGGACAGCGGAGGACTTCTCCGCTGTCCGGGGCGATCTTAAAATGCTGGCGGGCGGCAGCTTCGCTCCCGACCCCCAGCATTTTAAAACCTCCCCGGGACACGGGGAGATTTTAAAATGCTGGGGGTCGGCAGCGCTTCGCTCCCGACCCCCAGCATTTTAAAACCTCCCCGGGACACGGGGAGATTTTAAAATGCTGGGGGTCGGCAGCGCTTCGCTCCCGACCCCCAGCATTTTAAAATCTCCCCGGGACAGGGGGAGATTTTAAAATGCTGGGGGTCGGCAGCTAACGCTTCGCTCCCGACCCCCAGCATTTTAAAATCTCCCCGGGACAGGGGGAGATTTTAAAATGCTGGGGGTCGGCAGCGAACGCTTCGCTCCCGCCCGCCAGCATTTTAAGATCGCCCGGGGCAGGCGGGGGGAAGGCAGGCGGGGGGGGAGGTCCTCTTCTGAAGGCTGGCTGTGGGCGAAAGTCTTTGCTCCCGACCGCCAGCATTTCCCTATGGGCTTTCGTCTTGCGATGCAAGCCCATAGGGAAATTCGTCTTGCGAAGCACCTCCAAAACAGAAAACCCTTTCGTCTTGCGGGTTTTCCGTCTTGCGAGGCATTCGTCTTGCGGGGTACCACTGTATATTTAAATACCTTTTTCAGTTCATTATAGATCATTTCCCAGAAAGCCTTAATCTTAGGGCACGTCCACCAAAGGTGAAAGAATGTACCTTCATTTTCTTTACATTTCCAGCATTTATTATCGGGCAAATGGTAAATTTTTGCAAGCTTGACTGGAGTCATGTACCACTGATATATATCATTTTTATAATATTTTCTCTTAAGGCATTACATGCCATAAATTTCATACCGGTGGACCACAACTGCTCCCAGTCAGCAAACATAATGTTATGTCCCACATCTTGTGCCCATTTAATCATAGCAGATTTAACCGTCTCGTCCTGAGTATTCCATTTCAGCAGCAAGTTATACATTTTTGACAAAATCTTAGTTTTGGATTCTAACAGTTATGTTTCCAATTTAGATTTTTCCACCTGGAAGCCGACTTTCTTATCTATATTGTAAGCCTCCATTATCTGATAGTAATGAAGCCAATCTCGCACTTTGTCTTTTAGTTTCTCAAAACTCTGCAGTTTCAATCTGTCTCCTTCTTGTTCCAAAATTTCCCAATATTTCGGCCATTTGGCCTCCATATTGAGCTTTTTCTGAGCTTTCGCTTCCATTGGTGACAACCACCTTGGGGTTTTGTTCTCTAATAAATCCTTATATCTAATCCAAACATTAAACAATGCTTTCCTGACAATATGATTTTTAAATGCTTTATGTACTTTAACCTTGTCATACCACAGATATGCATGCCACCCAAGAACGTTGTTAAAACCTTCTAAATCCAAAATGTCTGTGTTCTCAAGAAGCAGCCAGTCTTTCAGCCAGCAGAACGCTGTTGATTCATAATAAAGTTTAAAGTCTGGCAGGGCAAATCCGCCCCTTTCCTTTGCATCAGTTAGTGTCTTAAATTTTATTCTAGGCTTCTTGCCCTGCCAGACAAATCTAGAAATATCTTTCTGCCACTTCTTGAAACAATCCATTTTGTCCACAATTTGCAATGTTTGAAACAAAAACAACATTCTAGGCAATACATTCATCTTTATGACTGCAATTCGACCCAACAAGGAAAGCTTCAAATTTGACCAAATTTCTAAATCTTTTTTTCACTTCCGTCCAACATTTTTCGTAGTTATCTTTAAACAAATTCCCATTTTTTGCTGTCATGTTGATCCCCAGGTATTTCACTTTCTTAACCACAGTCAAACCTGTTTCATTCTGAAACTTCTTTCAGTGAATGTTAAATTTTTCTCTAAAACCTTAGTTTTTGACTTATTCAGTTTAAATCCTGCCACCTGACCAAATTCTTGAATTAGTTCTAATACTCTTTTAGTACTAGATTCTGGCTCCTGTAACGTCAGAACTAGGTCGTCTGCAAATGCTCTCAGTTTGTATTGTTTGGCTCCGACCTGTATACCTTTAACCAACCAGTCCCTTCTAATCATATTCAGCAGGACCTCCAGGACCGATATAAAAAGCAATGGGGAAATTGGGCACCCCTGTCGTGTCCCTTTTTCTATCTTAAATTGTTCCGTAACCACATTATTTACAATTAGTTTAGCCTTTTGTTCAGAATATATTGCACCTATACCATTTTCAAAACCTTGGCCTACCCCCATACCCTGTAAGTTCTTTTTCATAAAACTCCAATAAATATTGTCAAAAGCTTTCTCCGCGTCCACAAATATCAGAACTGCTTTAGTGTTAATATTCACTTCTAGCTTTTCCAAAATGTCAATTATATTCCTCAGGTTATCAGATAGATGTCTTCCCGGTAGAAAGCCCGCTTGGTCCTTATGTATCTCTTCAATCAATACTTTTTTCAGTCTCTTAGCCAAGATATCAGCAAAAATTTTGTAATCCACATTTAATAAGGATATGGGACGGTAGTTCTTAAGTTGAGTCTTTTCAGTCTCTGTTTTCGGTATAAGTGTAATATAGGCGTCTTTCCACGTTTCTGGTGCCCTTTTCCCTTCCAAGATTTCATTGCAGACTTCGCAAAAGCACGTTTCATATTAGCTCTGCTTCTGGGGGAGCAACTGCCAGGTAGTGCCATCCTATGCATGTTCAACCAGAGGTCCGTCTGTGCCCCATGGGGCTTATTCCCAAATGAATGGTGCATGGCCTTGCAGCCAGGATACCATTGCGCTCTATCCATTATGCCACACATCTAGTAGCCGCTGATAGCCTCCATGAATTAGTCTTATCCTCTATGAAATCCACCCAAGTTGGTGGCCACGGCTGCCTCTTGTGGAAGGGAGTTCCACAGTTTAACTATGTGAAGAAAGACTTCTATTTATCCGTCCTGAATCTTCCCCCATTCAGCCTCAATGGATGTCCACAGGTTCTAGAAAGGGGGGAATCTTTTCTTTAGACGCTTTCTCTGTGCCCTACACATTTTATAAGCTGGCTGTCTCCTTGGGGCAGGCGCTCTCTTCATTTCCGCCTTTACCAAAGCGCTTTTGGAAATACGACCTTAAGCAAGCGGCCGAGGAGCGGGGCGGAGAATGCGCATGCGTCCCCCCGAGGCGGGCCGGGGGAGGGGCTTTTCCTGGCCCCGCCCTTCCGCCTCGCCGAGCGGCGAACTCCGGGGAAGAAGCCGGTTGGCCGAGGCGAGACGGAGGCCGCGGGCGCGTGGCGGTCGGCCGCTCGCTCCGCGCCCTGAACTCTGCCGGTTCGAGTCCCGCCGGGAGGCAGCGAGGCGCGCCTGGTAAGGGCGCCTGGGAGACCCCGCCTCCCGCCTTGGATGGTCCAGCGGGGAAGGTGAGCTCCGGCGGGAGACTGGGCGGCTTGGCGGGCGGCGGAGGCGCAGCCTGGGGGCGGGGATATCGGGCGGCCGAGAAGCATCAGCGCCGCCCCCGCCCAGCCGCGGAGCCCCGGCCGGGCGACGGACCAGGCTTCCTCGGAGGGGTGCGATGCTGTGCGACTGGGAAGCCCCCCAGGGCGTGTCATCACAGTCGGAAGGGGTTAACTTCGGATCTGGGGCTTATTTCCTACATACAGTGGTACCTCGGGTTAAGAACTTAATTTGTTCTGGAGGTCCGTTCTTAACCTGAAACTGTTCTTAACCTGAAGCACCACTTTAGCTAATGGGGCCTCCCGCTGCTGCTGCGCCGCCGGAGCACAATTTCTGTTCTCATCCTGAAGCAAAGTTCTTAACCCGAGGTACTACTTCCGGGTTAGCGGAGTCTGTAACCTGAAGCATATGTAACCTGAAGCGTATGTAACCCAAGGTACCACTGGAGAGAGAGAGAGAGAGAGAGAGAGAGAGAGAGAGAATAAAGATGGTGATGCAGTGCCGGGCGCTCCCTACCTACATGTAGGTCTACCCACCCCCCACTGCCCAGGAAACTCCAGGAGCCCCCAAAGAGGCCGGTGTTTCAGTAGGGGGTGTAATGCCTGAGTTTCCCATCACCCCCAACATCATGTGAAGCCAAAGCCCTGCCTTTATTCAGCTTGGGGCCCAAGTGTGGACAGGCCCCGTTTCCTGTCTTAGGAGGCCTCGCCAAATGGTACCTTGAGAGGTGGGCAAGCCTATGCCAAAAAACCAGGCAAAGTTTCAGCCGCCGTCTGGACTCCATATGGTGCCTTGCGTCCAAATGTTGATAGAGACCACCAAGTCTCATGCAAGTTCGGCAGCGGTATCTCGAGAGGCAGATGAACCTATGCCAAAAAAAGGACGAAGTCATGCGAGGCCATGTTTTGGTCTCCCATCTTGATTCAAAATGGCACCTGGCATCCAAATGTGGGTGAAGAGGCTGCCCCAACTTGGGAATCCTCATGCCGAGTTTGGTGATGACAAGAGAGACAAGCTAGTTAGCAGAGACACAAAGACAAGCTAGTTAGCAGATTTCAGTCCGTTAAAGACAAGACTTTCTGCACCTGATGAAGCAGACAGATTCATCGCCGTATAAACGTTTATGGACTAAAAGGGCATTGAAGCAATGAGAGTGAATCTAATTTTGGTCCAATAGGCTGCTTTCTTCACACACACCTTTGACCTGCATCCAGAGAAACAAGTGGGATCATCAGAGTTTAAGGACATGTTTCAGCCAGGCAAAAACTCTGGGGCCAGTAAGGGGCATGGCCTGGAGAGAGTGACAAGGGCCAGACAAGAGTTCTGAAGGGCACATTGGCCCCTAGGTATGAGACATTCCTGGCTCAGAGCAGTCTTCCTCTCAATTTAAGAGCTGTGAGCTTCATCTTTGGCCTTTGGGCTTCCTGGAGGTATCCTGGGTAGCCACTGTAGGAATCGTAGAATCGTATACAGTGGTACCTTGGGTTACAAACACCTCGGGTTACAGACTCCGCTAACCCGGAAGTAGTACCTCGGGTTAAGAACATTGCTTCAGGATGAGAAAATAAATCGCGCGGTGGCAGCGGTTGGCCCCATTAGCTAAAGTGGTAAGTAAAGGTAAAGGTACCCCTGCCCATACGGGCCAGTCTTGACAGACTCTAGGGTTGTGCGCTCATCTCACTCTAGAGGCCTGGAGCCAGCGCTGTCCACAGACACTTCCGGGTCACGTGGCCAGCGTGACGAAGCTACTCCGGCGAACCGGCACCAGAGCAGCACAAGGAACGCCGTTTACCTTCCCGCTAGAAAGCGGTACCTATTTATCTACTTGCACTTAATTGTGCTTTCGAACTGCTAGTTTGGCAGGAGCTGGGACCGAACGACGGGAGCTCACCCCGCCGCGGGGATTCGAACCGCCGACCATGCGATCGGCAAGTCCTAGGCGCTGAGGTTTTACCCACAGCGCCACCCGCGTCCCGGTAGCTAAAGTGGTACCTCAGGTTAAGAACGGTTTCAGGTTAAGAACGGACCTCCAGAATGAATTAAGTTCTTAACCAGAAGTACCACTGTAGTTGGAAAGGACCCCAAGCACCATCTAGACCACTCCCACAGGATGCAGGACTAGATGGACCTTTGGTTGTGTTTGCATTGGCTTGACCTACTCTGAGCTGAACCAAATTAATTCTGCTGTACCTTGGTCTGGCTTTCTTTCCCCTGTCTCGCCTACAGAAACAATGGAGGAGCTGAGCCAAGCTCTCGCTTTCAGCTTTGCTGTCTCCCAGGACCTCAACAGCACAGCAGCACCACACCCCCGGCTGGCACAGTACAAATCCAAGTACAGCTCCTTGGAGCAGGCAGAGAGGCGACGGCAGCTCCTTGCATTTCAGAAAACGTAAGGGGCATCTCTAAATGGCTATATTTCCATGTTGTTGCAGGTATTATTTATTTATTAAATTTCTATCCTGCCTTTCCTCCAAGGAGCCCACTGTGGCACACATGGTGATTCTTCTTCCCATTTTATTCTCACAACAACCCTGGCAGGTAGGTGAGGCTGAGAGACAGAGACTGGTGAGCTTCATGAATGAGTGGGGCTGGAATCCTGGGCTCTCAGGTCCAATACTAACCAAGCAATGTAAACCAAACCATCAATATAACATGGGAATGCAAATTCCACGTTCAAAACGAAAGAATGCTAATCATAGTCATTCCACATAATTAGGCAACTATAAATCTCCCAAAGCGGCATAAAAAGGAGCCATGGAAGCAAATTATATATGAAACATTGGATTGTATCCAACTAAGTTCTCCTTGGAGTAGACCCATTGAAATCAATGGACCTAAATGAATAATGTTCATTAGTTTCAATGGATTGGCTGTGAGCTCACACTGACTACATCTCATTGTCTTCTTGTTAATCTGTACAACAACCTTGTAAAGCAGGCAAGTACCGTTACTGCCATATTGAAGACAGGGAGTGGGGAATTTAAGAAGCAGACACATTTGCCACTCAGTTACCTGCCACACTCACCTGTCGCTCAGGAAAGATAATAGTTAATATATTTTAAATATATATATAATTGTCTGCAGGCAACATGCCAGGTGCTGTCTCTTAAATTCTTAAATGCTTATCATTTCTGGCCTTTAGCTGTTGTATCTGAAATGGACTCTACCTGTAAAATGATGTAGTTCTCTTCTATCCTCTTCTCATATTTTTGACTAACGTTTTAGTTTTTTCTTTCTTAAGTTTAAAGCCTGCAACTAGCCCAAATTCCGTAATCTTCTCTATCACTATTGGCACACTTTCTTTTGGGTTCTCCGTGGTTATAGTCAGGTCACTGGTGAAGGCTTTTACTTTGAAGGTCTTGTTTCCAACAACTATACCCCTTATTATACCCCTTCTTTTCTTTTCTTTTCTAATGTTCGTATTCAGAATTTCCAACACCAATATAAATAACAATGTGAATAAAGGACACCCCTAGCTTGTACCTCTCTTTATATTACAATTTTCTGTTAGATTGTTATTTAGTTTAGCTCTTTGTTGCAAGTATATTGCGTTTATACCTTTATAAAAAAATTCTCCCACTTCTATCATTTCTAATGTTTTTTTCACAAACCTCCAGGAGACATTGTCAAATGCCTTCTCTGCATCAACAAATAACAGTGCCACCTGTTTTTCGATTGTGACTTCCAGATACTCTAGAGCAGGGACGTCCAGCTCCCAAGAGACTGCGATCTACTCCCGGGGGGGGGGGCATGCAGTGATCTACCCATGGGGGGGAGTTCAGAGTTGTTGAACTTTTTTTAGGGGGGGCAGGTCAAAGTTGTTGCCCCTTTTTTAAACAGTAAGTGTGCAGAATTAAAATAAATTGCTCACCAACAACACATTCGCTAACACACAAACACAGCGACGCAGGGAAAGGCGGAGGGGCGGAGACATGATTCTAAACAACACAATAAGGATCCCACGGTTGACCACGATCATCCTGTGGTCAACCAGTTGGATACCCCAGCTCTAGAGTATCTATTACATATCTCATACAGTGGTGCCTCGCAAGATGAAATTAATTCGTTCCGCAAGTTTTTTCTTCTTGCGAGTTTTTCGTCTTGCGATGCACGGTTTCCCATAGGAATGCATTGAAAATCAATTAATGCGTTCCTAGGGAAACCGACTTCAGACCAGGTCCGGGGACAGTCTGTCCCCCGACCTCTTCTGAAGGCTGGGGGGGGGGACAAGGGCTTTTCTTCCCACCCCCAGCATTTTAAAAAACCCCGGGACAGCGGAGGGCTTCTCCGCTGTCCGGGGCGATTTAAAAGCCCCTGGGAAGGCAGGCAGGGGGGACAAAGACTTTTGCCCCCCGCCAGCCTTCAGAAGAGGTCCTGGACCTCTTCTGAAGGAGGGCGGGGGGCAAATGTCTTTGTCCCCCCTGCCTGCCTTCCCGGGAGAGCGGAGAAACGCAGCGCGTTTCTCCGCTCTCCCGGGAGGGCTTTTAAAGGCAGGCAGGGGGGACAAAGACTTTCACCCCCCGCCAGGGTCCTGGACCTCTTCTGAAGGCTGGCGGGGGGCGAAAGTCTTTGTCCCCCCTGCCTGCCTTTAAAAGCCTTCCCGGGAGAGTGGAGAAACGCGCTGCGTTTCTCCGCTCTCCCGGGAAGGCAGGCAGGCGGGACAAAGACATTTGCTGCTTGCGGAGAGTTGCCGGCATGCCGAAGCCTGCGCGCGCTGAGATCAGCGCGCCCAGGCTTCGCGGACCTCTCCGCAAGCAGCGGCAGCGCTGCCGCTGCTTGCGGAGAGTTGCCGGCATGCCGAAGCCTGCGCGCGCTGAGATCAGCGTGCCCAGGCTTCGCGGACCACTCCGCAAGCAGCGGCAGCGCTGCCGCTGCTTGCGGAGAGTTGTCGGCATGCCGAGATCAGCGCGCCCAGGCTTCGCGGACCTCTCCTGCCTTCAAAAGCCGTCCGGGATAGCGGGAAGCGCTTCCCTGCTATCCCGGACTGCTTTTAAAATGCTGGTGGTGGGGAGCAAAGCCTTTCGGCCCCCGCCAGCCTTCCTGGACCTCTTCTGAAGGCCGGAGGGGGGGAAAGGCTTTGCTCCCCACCGCTAGCATTTAAAAGAGGTCCCCGGAGATTTCCCTATGGGGTTTCGTCTTGCGAAGCAAGCCCATAGGGAAATTTGTTTTGCGAAGCGCCTCCAAAACGGAAAACCCTTTCGTCTAGCGGGTTTTCCGTCTTGCAAGGCGTTCGTCTTGCGGGGTACCACTGTATTATTTTTCATATGGCTTCCTAGGAGAAATCCTGCTTGGTCCTCATGAATATAGTCTTTCAGTATACGTTTCAATTTACTTACTATTATATCTGCGAATATTTTATAGTCATTTTTAAGAAGAGATATAGGTCGGTAATTCTTAACTGATGTTTCCTTAGGGATTAAGGTTATATAGGCCTCCTCCCATGATTCTGGTAGCTTCCCCGTACAGTGGTACCTCGGGTTACATACACTTCAGGTTACATTCGCTTGGGGCCTCCTGCTGCCGCTGCGTGATTTCTGTTCTCATCCTGAAGCAAAGTTCTTAACCCGAGGTAATATTTCTGGGTTAGCGGAGTCTGTAACCTGAAGCGTCTGTAACCTGAAGCATATGTAACCCGAGGTACCACTGTACTGATTTATTAGACTTAAAAAGGTAAAGGGCCCCCTGACCGTTAGGTCCAGTCACGACGACTTGGGTTGCGGCGTTCATCTCACTTCATTGGTCGCGGGAGCTGGCGTACAGCTTCCGGGTCATGTGGCCAGCATGACTAAGCCGCTTCTGGTGAACCAGAGCAGCGCACAGAAACGCCGTTTATCTTCCCACTGGAGCGGTACCTATTTATCTACTTGCACTTTGACGTGCTTTCGAACTGCTAGGTTGGCAGGACCTGGGGCCAAGCAATGGGATCTCACCCTGTCGCGGGGATTCGAACTGCCGACCTTCTGATCGACAAGCCCAAGAGGCTTAGTGGTTTAACCCACAGCACCACCCGCGTCCCAACTTATTAGACAGAGGGTTTTAACAACTGTTTGGCTGGCATGCTTACTTATGCTACGATAAGGTGAGAGTTCACAGAGATTTTATGACTCATGTAATAAAAAGATCTCTATATGCAGTCTGGACAAAAAATAAGGGTATCCTGGAACAAAAGAAACCCTGGAAGTTGTTGCCGATGGGAGCCATGACAGTAAAGAAAATTAACAAGATGGTTGAATGGGTTATGTATAAAGAAATTATCTGTGAAGAAGGCAACCAACTAAGACTCAAAAATTTTGAAGAAATAAGTAAAGTCAACAATTGGTTACAATACCACCAAATATGTGACATATTTAAACAAGATAAAAAAGGGCTTTAGTAAAGAACCTTCAAGATTCAAAAGTGACTTGATGATGACTTATGAAGTGATAAGGGAAAATTTAATAAAGATGTTTTACAGATGGTATTTAACACCAACCAAAATATGTAAAATACATAAAACAAAATCAAATCTGTGTTGGAGGTGTAACAAAGCAGAGGGGACATTCATACATATGTTGTGGACATGTGATAAAATCAAAGGCTTCTGGGATATAGTGTACGAAGAGTTAAAGAAAATGTTTAAACAAAACTGTTAAGAAAACAGAAGCTTTTTTATTGGGGATACTAGACATAGATATTGCCAGAGAAAATAAGAAAATATTCCTTTACGCCATGGAAGTGGCGAGAACACTAATTGCCAAAAATTGGAAAAAAGAAATAATCCCGACAAAAAAATAATGGCAAGACAGATTATTTTATTATATTAAATTGGCCAGATTGACAGAGGCAATTAGGGGTCAAACCAAACAAAAATTCCAAAAAGAATGGGTAAAACAAAGAATAGTTTTAATAGCAGTGCCCTCAAATTAATACTTGGACTTATTTTGATTGATTTCTGCAAAATAATTTATGGTACATAAGTTAAAAACAAAGAAAAAGGAGTAATAATGAACTAAAAAGGAGATGGTTTACCAAAAACGATAAAAGAACCATGTTGAGGATTAAATCAAATGGAAGAAAAAAAGAACTGAAATATGGTGTGTGTGTGTGTGTGTGTGTGTATGACTTTGTTTTGTATAAGTTTTCGTATGTTATGTTTTATTTGTACTTTTTTGTTTTGTTTTATGTCTTGTTGTTTGTTTCTCTCTTGATTCTGTATTATTATTTTTATGTTCAGTTTGACAAGTGTGTGTATACGTGTTGTAAATAAACTGAATAAAATTTAAAAGATGATAGAGGTAGGTAGGTAGATAGATAGATGATGATAGATAGATAGATAGATAGATAGATGATAGATAGATAGATAGATAGATGATAGATAGATATAGATGATATATAATGACAACAAAACACTGTCCAAAATGTATAAAATTTTATTAGAATGGTCAGTGAAGTATGAGGAGGTAAAATCAGCCATGGTAAAGTGGGAAAGAGATCTAGGTCATAATATACAACTCTCAGAATGACAAAAATTGTGGAGGGAAGATCTTAAATTCACAGCATGGAATAAAATTGGTCAGCTCAGATTGAAACCAACAGACCATAGCAAGACATCAAAGTCAGTGTTAATTAGGATTGCAATTTTTTTTTTTAAATTTCAAGATTTTGAAAGGGGAAAAAAGCTGATCAACTTTTCTGTCTGAATTTTCACTTTTTGAAATACAGTATGGCAACCCTATGTTAATGAAAAGTTCAGAAAGTGTCAGCCTGGCAGGCAGACTTATGAAGGCAGGATGCTACCATACAAAAGCTGCACGGTGGATTTAGTATAATGGTTTTAACTATGGAATTGATCGCTTTAGGGCTATTGCATTTCTTCCTTAATTTATTGTTCTATGACATTTTCCTTACTATCTCTGCTTTGGAATGGTGGTTTGTTCTAATACAGTAGTTGCATTGTTTACTGATTTTATTTTGTTTTGTCTTTTACCCTTGTTTTATTGGATTTTTTTATTTTTGTATATATATATTAAATAAAATATTACTGTTTTGTTTGTATGTCACCCCGAAAGCTATTGTTACTGGGCAGGATATAAAGAATTTTCTTTCCTATCTAAGTTGGTGGGAAATTTCAAATCTTTTCTTCTTTTTCTTTCTCCTGACAAGTAAGCGATTGGATTATGTCAACCATGCTAGGAGGCTGGCAGAGGATGATTGGACAGGCACCGAGGAGGAGGAGGAGGAGGAGAAGGAGAAGGAGGGGGCAGGTGCAGACAGTGCAGACATGGAGATGGAAGTCGGGACGAAGCTACCAAAACGCTACGCCAACCAGGTGAGGGGGACTGGTAGCAGAGAGGAAAACTGAGCAAGGGGAAAACTGGGCTCCAAATAGAAGCCAGCCCTTGTTGCTTTTGTGTATATGAGGTATCATTCTGATTATTTCCCTCCTGGGACATAATTTTCCCCAGAGCCTTATTTGTTAGCAAAATGTGAATTCAAGTTTCTGGCTCTTTAGAGTGGAGGCAGGAGGCTGTAGACTTGTGGTTCTGAGAGCAGAACCTAATGGTTGATCTACCTGAGGAAGCGGGTCAGAATTAAAAAGATGAGGTACAAATACTTCCCCCAATCTAATCTGACAAACTGGAAACTTAATAAAAAATTATCTCTGTCCAAACAATTATAAATTAATTTTCCCCCAAAAGGCTGAGTTATATATATTGAGAGAGAGAGGAGCTAAGCCAAAAGTGTCTCTGAAAAGCGCTTTTCTTATCCCTAATTTGCTTCCTGTGTTTCTTATTTATAAATTCCTTGATAATCTTTGGAGAGTGATTTGTCTTGACTTTTCTGGCGTATTTGCAACTGTAGGAGACTTTTTACAATCCCAATCAAACCTATTAGTTTGGTGTTGGAATGAACTAGATTTGTACCTCCCTTGGACAATGCATGGTTTCAGTTCCTCTATTATTTGCTGATACGGTCCTAATTAATATGTTAGGTGCATTCATATAGTCAGCATAGACTTTCACACTATATTTTAAATCCAGGTTGTGAACAATTTTTCCTTTCTTTAGGGAAGGAAATATTTTCATGTCATTTGCCATTGGTTTTTAATGCTATTCTATATTGTGTTGTAAGCTCTCCAGGAAATGTTTATTGATCATAGAATCATAGAGTTGGAAGAGACCACTAGGGCCATCGAGTCCAACCCCCTGCCAAGCAGGAAACACCATCAGAGCACTCCTGACATATGGTTGTCAAGCCTCTGCTTAAAGACCTCCAAAGAAGGAGACTCCGCCACACTCCTTGGCAGCAAATTCCACTGTCGAACAGCTCTTACTGTCAGGAAGTTCTTCCTAATGTTTAGGTGGAATCTGATGAATGACTATAAATCCAACACCATTTAATGTGTTTGTGACCAAGCAGAGGTGGAATATACTGGAATATACTGTTAATATACTGTTATATTGCTCCTTGTATATAACTACCATAGGGTTTTAAATAGGATTTTTGGACAGTTTTCTTTTTGAATTGCTGGAAAGAAATTTGCCAAGTATTGATTGTTAGGGATAAATTGTGCTCTGTTTGCTCTAGGTGCCCTGAAAATCAGACAAAAAATTCTAATATATTGGGGTCACATGTGCTAGACTATAACTTTCTCAATCTGGTATTTTGTAGTGATCAAGCTTTTTTTAGCAAATAAGTTTATCTGACTGATTATAAATCTAAGAAATAATAACCACCATTAAGAGAGTGGGTTGTTGTTGTTTTTTGTATAGTTGGTACAATGTTAATAGATTTTGGGTTATATCGAATCCTAAGAATACTTGGAGGAAATCCATTGAAATTACAGTGGTGCCTCGCAAGACGAAATTAATTCGTTCCGCAAGTTTTTTCTTCTTGCGAGTTTTTCATCTTGCGAAGCACAGTTTCCCATAGGAATGCATTGAAAATCAATCAATGCGTTCCTATGGAAACCGCCTTCAGACCAGGTCCGGGGACAGTCTGTCCCCCGACCTCTTCTGAAGGCTGGGGGGGGGACAAGGGCTTTTCTTCCCACCACCAGCCTTCAGAAGGCTGTTCTGAAGGCTGGCGGTGGGAAGAAAAGCCCTTCTCCCCACCTCCCGCCCCGCAAGCTCCGGGGACAGGAGGGCTTTGCTGCCGACCGCCAGCATTTTAAAAGCCCCCGGGACAGCGGAGACTTCTCCGCTGTCCCGGGGCGATCTTAAAATGCTGGCGGGCGGCAGCGAAGCGTTCGCTGCCGTCCGCCAGCATTTTAAAAGCAAGCCCATAGGGAAATTCGTCTTGCGGAACGACTCAAAAACGGAAAACTCTTTCGTCTTGCGAGTTTTTCGTTTTGCGAGGTGTTCGTCTTGCGAGGCACCACTGTAATGGACATGACTAACTTGAGTACATTCATGTCAGTGGATCTCCTCTGAGTAGAACTTGGTTGACTACAACCTTATTTGATTTTTCTCCTTTGTGGCTTTGAGTACAAGCAATGGAATTATGGTCATCTGGGAGCATTATGGAAAGAGAAAGTGGAACCACAGAGGGCCACAGATTCAGGCTATGTACACACCATACATTTAAAACCCTGGGAACTGTAGTTTGCCTCTCACAGAACTCCTAGGACCTTTAGCAAACTACATTTCCCATTGTTCTTTTTGGAGTTAAGGGGGATGTTCTTTAAATGTATGGTGTTTATACAGCTTGAAAGTTGTAACTGAAACTGAGATCCAGTTGAGATTTCTGCATTGCAAGGGTTGGACTAGATGACCCTGAGGACCCTTTCAACTCTACAGTTCTCTGCTTAATTAAAGAGTTTATTCATGTACAATGGTCAACCTAGGAAAAGTGGGAAAATAAACATAAAGAATAAACTACTTGAGGGAATGACCCTTATGTGATATTAATGTGACTATTTCTCATTTATTGATTTTATTTCATTTATGAGTCTCCTAATAAAAAATAGTCTCCAGATGACTTACAAAAATGCAGGGTTGTTTGCTTTTTTTAAACTAAAATGAAAATCAAACCCTGCATTTTAAATTATCCTAATCATTACTGTGAGTTCTGAAGTAATTTAGCAAGAAAGAACCACAAAAAGGGAATGATATAATACTCGGTGTAATAAATAGGAAAGGAATTTTTAAAAAGTCATATGAAAATGATAGCAAAAGCCCACAAACCACGAGGAAAAAGCTAGTCTCCATCCTCAAATCCCTCTAGCCCTGCGACATAAGAGTTCCTGGGATGCTGAAGTTTCATGGCACTTTGAAGCAACAAAGCATTTTAAATTTGAAGAGTCCTTCATAGTTGCCAGTGCAGGGCTTACTCAGTGAGCCCTTGGGGTGAAGGCGAAAGGGAAGCCTTGGTTGGCTTTACTGTGAGGGCTGTTGAGGGCCTTCGACTGACTTTGTTTGCTTAGTTTTCCAAGGACAAATGAAGCCAGGGTTCTTTAAGTTCCCACTGGTTTGGGAAGCACGTTCTGTTTCAATGCTGTCCATAAGCAGGTGCCAGCTTGTTATGGCTTTCTCTGCAAAAGGAGGCCTTTCTTATCAGCCTTTGCTGAGCGATAAGCTTTCTCTTTCTCCCTTCTTGCCAGCCAGCCAAGGAAGTGGCTTAGAGCAGCCTTCCTCAAACTCAGCCCACCAGAGACTAGAATCATAGAATCATAGAGTTGGAAGAGACCACAAGGGCCATCGAGTCCAACCCCCTGCCAAGCAGGAAACACCATCAGAGCACTCCTGACATATGGTTGTCAAGCCTCTGCTTAAAGACCTCCAAAGAAGGAGACTCCACCACACTCCTTGGCAGCAAAGTCCACTGTCGAACAGCTCTTACTGTCAGGAAGTTCTTCCTAATGTTTAGGTGGAATCTTCTTTCTTGTAGTTTGGATCCATTGCTCCATGTCCGCTTCTCTGGAGCAGCAGAAAACAACCTTTCTCCCTCCTCTATGTGGCATCCTTTTATATATTTGAACATGGCTATCATATCACCCCTTAACCTCCTCTTCTCCAGGCTAAACATGCCCAGCTCCCTTAGCCGTTCCTCATAAGGCCTCATTTCCAGGCCTTTGACCATTTTGGTTGCCCTCCTCTGGACACGTTCCAGTTTGTCAGTGTCCTTCTTGAACTGTGGTGCCCAGAACTGGACACAGTACTCCAGGTGAGGTCTGACCAGAGCAGAATACAGTGGCACTATTACTTCCCTTGATCTAGATGCTATACTCCTATTGATGCAGCCCAGAATTGCATTGGCTTTTTTAGCTGCCGCGTCACACTGTTGGCTCATGTCAAGTTTGTGGTCAACCAAGACTCCTAGATCCTTTTCACATGTACTGCTCTCAAGCCAGGTGTCCCCCATCTTGTATTTGTGCCTCTCATTTTTTTTGCCCAAGTGCAATACTTTACATTTCTCCCTGTTAAAGTTCATCTTGTTTGTTTTGGCCCAGTTCTCTAATCTGTCAAGGTCGTTTTGAAGTGTGATCTTGTCCTCTGGGGTGTTAGCCACCCCTCCCAGTTTGGTGTCATCTGCAAATTTGATCAGGATGCCCTTGAGTCCATCATCCAAGTCATTGATAAAGATGTTGAATAAGACCGGGCCCAAGACAGAACCCTGTGGCACCCCACTAGTCACTCTTCTCCAGGATGAAGAGGAACCATTGATGAGCACCCTTTGGGTTCGGTCAGTCAGCCAGTTACAAATCCACTGAGTGGTAGCATAGTCAAGACCGCATTTTACCAGCTTCTTTACAAGAATATCATGGGGCACCTTGTCGAATGCCTTGCTGAAATCAAGGTAGGCTACATCCACTGCGTTCCCTTCATCTACCAGGCTTGTAATTCTGTCAAAAAACAAGATCAGGTTAGTCTGACATGACTTATTTTTCAGAAATCCATGCTGGCTATTGGTGATCACAGCATTCCTTTCTAGGTGCTCACAGACTGTTTGCTTAATGATCTGCTCCAGAATCTTCCCTGGTATTGATGTCAGACTGACTGGGCGGTAATTATTTGGGTCCTCTCTTTTCCCCTTTTTGAAAATAGGGACAACATTTGCCCTCCTCCAGTCTGCCGGGACTTCGCCTGTTCTCCAGGAATTCTCAAAGATGACTGCCAGTGGTTCTGAGATCACATCTGCCAGTTCTTTTAATACTCTTGGATGCACTTCATCTGGCCCTGGAGACTTGAATACATCTAAACTAGCCAAGTATTCTTGTACTATCTCCTTAGTTATTCTGGGCTGTGTTTCCTCTGCTGAATCATTTGCTCCAAATTCTTCAGGTCGGGCATTGTTTTCTTTATCGGAGAAGACTGAGGCAAAGAAGGCATTGAGGAGTTCAGCCCTTTCTGTGTCCCCTGTTTGCATTTCACCATCTTCTCCTCTGAGTGACCCCACTGTTTCTTTGTTCTTCCTTTTGCTACGAACATACCCATAAAAGCCTTTTTTGTTGCTTTTAACCTCTCTAGCAAGCCTGAGTTCATTCTGTGCTTTAGCTTTTCTGACTTTGTGTCTACACGTGCTGGCTATTTGTTTGAATTCCTCTTTGGTGGTTTCCCCCCTTTTCCATTTTTTGTACACATCCTTTTTTAATCTTAACTCAGTTAAAAGTTCTTTAGATAGCCACCCTGGCTTCTTTAGGCACCTTCCATGTTTCCGTCTCATTGGTATTGCCTGAAGTTGTGCTTTTACTATCTCCCTCTTAACAAACTCCCAGCCATCATGAACTCCCTTTCCTTTTAGTATTACTGTCCATGGGATCTCACCCAGCACTTCCCTAAGTTTTATGAAGTCGGCTTTCTTAAAGTCAAGAAATTGAGTCCTAGTATGCTTGGCTGCTCCTTTCCGCTGTATAGTAAACTTCAGAAGAGCATGATCACTCGTGCCTAATGATCCTTCCACTTCTACCCCACTAACCAGGTCCTCAACATTGGTTAGGACCAGATCTAAAATGGCTGTTCCTCTTGTTGCTTCTCCCACTTTCTGGACAATGAAGTTGTCTGCAAGGCCAGTGAGGAATCTGTTTGACCTTATGCTCTTGGCTGAGTTTGACATACAACAAATATCCAGGTAATTGAAGTCCCCCATTACTACTATCTCCCTTCCTTTTGCATGCTTGGCCATCTGTTCCAGGAAGGCATCATCTATGTCCTCCGTTTGGCTTGGGGATCTATAGTAAACTCCCACAATGAGGTCTCTGTTATTCTTCTCTCCCTTAATTTTGACCCAAATGCTCTCACTTTGGCTTTGAGGTTCTAAATCTTGGATCTCTTCACAGGTATACACATCCCTGACATATAACGCCACTCCTCCTCCTTTCTTGTCTGGTCTGTTTCTCTGAAATAGATTGTATCCCTCCATTATTACATTCCAATCGTGGGACTTATCCCACCAGGTTTCAGTGATGCCTATTATGTCATATTTAGTTTGCTGTACCAAGAGCTCAAGCTCATCTTGTTTATTTCCCATGCTTTGCGCATTAGTGTACAGACATTGAAGTCCATTAATCATTCCCCCATGTCTCTTATTTAAGGATTTTTTCCTCCCACCACTAGGTCTGCATGCTGTTTGCTCCATTCGGTCTATGACATTTGGATGATCATCTTCATCAATTGATAGACTCCTACCTTCAGGTGCACTGTCTCCCTCTCCCACATTAGTCAGTTTAAAGCCCTCCTGATGAGGTTTCTGAGATTTTTTGCAAAAACATTCCTCCCAACCGCTGTGAGGTGCAGCCCATCGCTTGCCAGAAGTCCATCTTCAAGAAACTGCAGTCCGTGATCTAAGAATCCAAACCGTTCCTGTTTACACCATTTGCGAAGCCAGCTGTTCACTTCCAATATTTTCCCCTCTCTCCCTGGGCCACGTCGTTCAACTAGGGATCATGGGAGTTGTAGGCCAATAACATCTGGAGGGCTTAGAGCAGTGTTTCCCAACCTTGTGCCTCCAGCTGTTTTTGGCCTACAATTCCCATCATCCCTTGCCACTGGTCTTGCTAGTCAGGGATGATGGGAGTTGTAGTTCAAAAACAGCTGGAGGCACAAGGTTGGGAAACACTGGCTTAGAGCTACAGCAGTAGGCAGGAATTGTCATTTTAGGGGGAGAAACTTAATTTTTGTACATTTCTTCAGTGAGGGATCTTAAAAATATGTTTTTGGGTGTGAGTTCACACTTGCAATTATTTTTGTGATTGGAAAACATTTAGCTTATTAAGTCTACCTTTGATTAAGAAGCATATAAACAGCTTTCAGAAAATGAAAGACTTTTACTTTTACCTTCTGAAAAGTGATTAATAATAACAACAATAATAATGAATAATAAAACTTCAAGCACTTGGCAATCATTTTTTGTTTTCTATGCAATTTTACACATATTTTACTTACCAAGCAGTTAATCTTATCAATCAATGAATCTTATCAATCAGTTTTACCAAAGTATCTTTAGAATTCCTGAGCCACATTGCAACTTTTTAGCACCCCTCATTCTTGGAATTTGAAACTTCAACACTCCTGACCACAGCAGCTTCCTCCATCTCAAACCCCAAGAGGTGCCTAGAGCTCTGCGGTTTGCTTCATTGTGGCAGCTCTGGGGTTTGCTGCATCTAGTGGCTCTTTGGGCCAGGATTAATAAAAATAAAGAGGAACAGAGAAGGTATCCTCAGATCATCAATCCAGTGCTGGCTCAGTACTGACTGGGTTGCCAGGCTCTTGGGCGGAAGTCCTTTCCAGGGGAGAATGAACCTGAGGCCTCCTGCATGCTAAGCAAGTGCTCTGCCGCTGGGTTATGGCCATCTCATAGCCTTGACAGCTGTTCAGGCCTGGCTTTAACCAGTAAGGTTTCTGGTTGCATTTCTCCTTCTGCGCCACGCTTTCCCAGCCTGGTGCCTCCACTTTTTTCCAGCTGCATCTCCCATCATCCCTGATCATTGGCTATGCTGCTTGGGGCTGATGGGAGTGGTAGTCCTACAGTGTCTGGCAGGCACCAGGCCAGGGAAGGCTGTGACATTTGCCGTTTTCCCCAGTGCTACAAGTGAACAATTTTCTTTACTGCCTTTGTAGCTGATGCTGTCTGAATGGCTGATTGACGTGCCCCCAGATTTGGTGCAGGAGTGGCTGCTGGTGGTGTGCCCTGTGGGGAAGAGGGCTCTTATTGTGGCATCTCAGGTAAGAGACCGTGGCTTCTACCACAAGCCAAACCAAGGAAGAGTTTTTATCTTGCTGCTTTGTAAATTGTCTCCTGCCGCATTCTAATAGCTTGGCAAGCTGGGGTTGAGGAACCTTTGAAATCAGGCAACTCTCGCGTCCGTGTCCAAAGGCTTATTGCATGTGAAACTCCTCCAAGACTACGAAATGGATCTGTTCCATCTCGCCCCATCTGAACAAGCTGCATTTTAACAGGGCTTAACAGAGCATTTTTTTTTAATTTTAAAAAGACACTCCATTTTAAAAAGTATTTTGATGATTTCTAAGAACTTGTTTTCCCTGCTGCTTCTTATCTTCTGTTTTGTTGATAGGTTTGTTTAATTGTGCATTGTGTTTGTGGCCTTTAACATTTTTGTGATCCCAGCCTTGTTTTTAACGACTTGCATGATCACTGTAGGTGACAAAGAATTCCATATAGGTGAGTCAGCAAGCTGGCGGAGGGAGGAGCCAATCTCTCCATCCTTCCTCCAGCATCCACTTGGCATCTGTTGGCATGGCTTGCCAGGAATGGCCTGGCAGGCCAGAGTTGGCCCATGGGCTAGAGGTCCCCCACTCCTGCTGTTAAAAAAAACATAATTTTCTCTTAATATGTTTCTTTTTAAAAAAAGAAATGAGAGCAGCCATCACTCAATGAGTTTCAACAGTAATACAGTTCCAAGGTACAGTCTCAAGTTATGGTCTTCAACTGGTGGGGAAGAACTCACTAGTGGGTTACAGCCTGATCCAAAGTGGGTCACAATAGGAGTACTACCACCATGCAAATATATGGTAAAAAGATTAAGAAATGGGTCCCCATATGCATATTTGGGTTGAAAGTGGGTCCTGAGTGTGAAAAGGTTGAAGCTAGCTGGTCTAAAGGCACATGAGGCTAAAGTTAAGCAGTTCTGGGTCTGAACAGGCGGCTGTCTGAAAACCTGAAGGAGCGTCTCCACCCCCCATCGTTCAGCCTGGACACTGAGATCCAGCGCCGAGGGCCTTCTGGCAGTTCCCTCACCGCGCGAGAAGCGAAGCTACAGGGAACCAGGCAGAGGGCCTTCTTGGGAGTCATGCCTGCCCTGTGGAATGCCCTCCCACCAGATGTCAAGGAGATAAACAACTATCTGGCTTATAGAAGACATCTGAAGGCAGCCCTGTATAGGGAAGCCTTTTGATGTGTAATGTTTTGTTATGTTTTTATATATGTTAGAAGCAACCCATAGTGCCTGCAGCAACCCAGTCAGATGGGTGGGGTACAATTATTCTTGTTGTTGTTACTATTATTATTATTACTACTACTACTACCACATGCAATACTGCCTTGGGCTCCACAATGGAAGAAAAGGAAGGATATAAACATAATAAAATATATGTGGGGTTTGGGGGCCTCCCCCCCCCCCCCCGCTCTACTTGGAGTATACAATTTAGGAAGTCCTTTTACAGGGGGGGGGGAATCACTCTTGTTTGTTCTTGATCCCTTCCTCCTCCTCCCTCTCTTCTCTCCTTCCAGGGCTCCACTGCAGCTTACACCAAAAGCGGTTTCTGTGTCAACCGATTCCCTTCTCTTTTGCCAGGTGGGAGTCGCCATACTTCAGCCACAGGGAAAGGTAACTTCTTGATTCCCCTCCCTTTTTGCAATCTCCCAATGGGCAAAGATCTGCTTGAAAGAGACACTCCAGGTCCTTACTCAAAACCAACTTTCGTGTACCATTCATTACCCACCTTCCATGGGTTTTTTCTTTTCTTTTTGCTTGAGCGATAACAGGTATTGTTTGGAACAAGAGCATCATTCTGGGCAATATATTAATCTTTATCGCAGAAATTCTACCCAACAAGGACAGTTATAATTTATTCCATCTTAACATCTCTTTTTAAATTTCCACCCACGTCTTAACATAATTATTTTGAAACAACATACAATTCAAATTTCTCATGGTTAATACCTAAGTACTTTACTTTTTTGTCAATTTGATATTCAGTTTTCTCTGTCAAAGTCTTGTTCTTCTGTAGTCATATTCTTTATTAAAATTTTCATTTTCTAATGATTAACCTTAAAACTTGCTAGCATGCCAAATTCCTTTAATTTATTCATAAGAGTTTCCACTCCCTGTAATGGGTTTTCCAGAACTATCATCAGATCATCTGCAAAACTCCTAATGTAGTTTCCCTTTTTAATCTTTATCCCCTTAATTCTCTCATCTTGTCTAATATCTCTAAGCAAGACTTCCAAAACCAAAATGAAAAGCAATGGTGACAGTTGGCACCCTTGCCTTGTTCCCTTCTGTATCTCACAAGGTTTTGTTAATTCTCCTTTAACAATTATGTGAGCTGTCTTCTGCTTAATAAATCAATTTCACCCATTTAATGAAATCTCCAAAGTTCATTTCTTGCAAAGCTCTAAACAGAAATTCCCAGTTCACAATGTCAAAAGCTTTTTCTGTATCCCAAAAAATCAATACAGCTTCTTGTTCTGACAGTTCAAATACTCCAAAATATCTAACATATTTCTGACATTGTCTCTTAACTGTCTTTTAGGTAAAAATCTATAAATAGATCTATAAAAATATATATATACATCATGACCAGCCTTGTAAAAAATAAAAAAAACTTGCTGCCAAAATCACTCCAAATAATTTATAGTCACTGTTCAGCTGATATTTTTTTTGGCTGATATTTTTTTACTGAGGTCAAATCTTATCCCTCTTTAGGTATAAGTGGGATGTTGGCCTCTTTTTAGCTATCTGGTATATGAGTATATTATTCATTGTCCTTGTTGTAAGAGTTGTAGAAGTTCTTCAAAAAATTGATAGTTAGCAGCTGGCCGCTGTACCTTTTCTTTCTTGGATTTTTTAATAGCATCGCATAACACCTGAATTGTTAAAGGGCCATTGATTTTTATTTATCTATTTTTGGGAGAGTCTGAGATTTTTGCTGGATGTTGTTTTTGCAAGTAATCATCTATCCGACCCTGCCCCCCCCCAAGATTGTTTGAGCTTTATACAGCTTAGAGTAAATTTGATCAAAGTTTCTTCATATTTGTATTGTTCATTGTTATAACATTGTTTTCTTGCAACTTCAGGATCACTTTCCTTAGTTTGGCTGAATTAACTAAAGCAAATAGTTTTAACTGGATTTTAAATGTGCAATTATTCGTTCCTATTTTGAATTTTGCCTGTTGTCTTTGTCCATGGAGTTTTCTTGGCAGGGATACTGGAGTGGCTTGCCAGTTCCTCCTCCAGGTGGATCATGTTTGGTCAAAACTCTCCACTATGACCTGTTCATCTTGGGTGCCCTGCTCGGCATAGTTCATAGCTTCTCTGAGTTATTCAAGCCCCTTCGCCACGGCAACTTCGCCACAGAAGTGCCTGGCGTGCTCTGGTCCATGGGGTCACGAAGAGTCGGACACAACTAAACGACTAAACAACAACAAAATTTTGAATTTTATTGTGTAATTCTCTTCTTTAGTGGTTGTGCAAACAATAATGAATAATGCCTGTTATAGGGTAGGGAGCACTGGGGATAAGTGTATGGAAGCAAGGGACAGCGGCCCAAAGAAGTTTGGGAACCACTGGCCAAGATTAATCTCTTGCCTCTTGTTGTGTGAAGAATACACAATCCTGGACTGCATCTACAGCGAGGCCCAGCAGATGTACTACATCCTCGATGTGATGTGTTGGCGGGGACACCCTGTGTACGACTGCCAGGTACCTTTTTGCCTCTGGTCCTGCCACTGGCTTGCATCCCTGGCAGCTGTTTCCTCCTCTCTGTTCCCTTTCTGAGACACTTCCTGGATTCTGCTAAAACTCACCTGTAATGGTGTTTTTGGAGATGTTGCCCCATAGTTAAATTTTAATTTTTTTTATTTAATGGGGGGCATATAAGAGGTAAAACAATTCTGGGAGCAAAGTAGACCCAAGCCATTATGGGACTTAAATACTAATAGTGACACCTTGAACATGGCCCAGTAACAAATAGGCAGCCAGTGCAGATCTCTGAGCAGAGGTGTTAATACGCTGACAGGGCCTCGCTCCTGTCAGCAACCATGCTGCAGCATTCTGCGCTGGCTGCAGCTTCCGATGTTCAGCTGACTGCGGTTTTTGGCATGGTGTCCAAGACTAGCCCTAAATAGTGAATCCCTGTTTGTCTTGGCCACCTCTCCATATACTTTCTTTTAATCTATAACCAACAAAAGAGTTTAGCAAGATAAGGGATTCTGTTGAAGTCATGATAGTTTGCATCACAATCCAGAGCAGAAGCAGTTGCTCTGCTTCTACAAAGCTTCTGTGTTGCCTCCTTTTGGGGTTGTTCCATGCGGAGCTCATAGAACTTCAGATGGATTTCCCATATTCAGGGCAGAGCTCTTGAGGCTGCTGCTTATCATTTAGTCCCCTAACATGACCCTCCTGGCCAGCATGGTGTAGTGGTTAAGAGCGGTGGACTCGTAATCTGGTGAACCGGGTTTGCTTCCCCGCTCCTCCATATGCAGCTGCTGGGTGACCTTGGTCCAGTCACACTTCTCTGAAGTCTCTTACCTCACAGAGTGTTTGTTGTGGGGGAGGAAGGGAAAGGAGATTGTTAGCTGCTTTGAGACTCCTTAAGGGGAGTGAAATGGGATATCAAGTCCAAACTCCTCCTCCTCCTCTCTTTTTCCCCCCCAGACAGACTTCAGGTTCTATTGGCTGCATTCAAAAATGCAGGAAGAGGATGGCCTGGGAAAGAAAAGCCGTCTTAATCCAGTAAGTCCTTTTTGCCCAGAAGTGTGGATGTTCTAGACAAGTGAGACCTGCAAGGAAATAATCTGCTGTGAAGTCTTCCTGTTCAGGGCCCCCTTACAGGATACTCCATTCCATTTACCCTCCCCATCCCTGGTGTTCAGTCCTGTTCCCCCCTTCCCTGCCACCAGCCAGCATGCTCAGCCTTCAATCTGCTTCCCCCCCCCTTTTTTTTGCGGTGCAGGGTGTTCTTCCCTAAATATTTTTTAATTATTATTTTTTGTGTGGGTGCTTCTGCATACCTTTGGGTTTACCCGCAAACTCGCTGATGCCTTCTCCTTGTGCTTGGGTGCTGTTGGTTTTGGATGCGCAAGGGCTGGCAGGCACATGGAGAATAGAGTTTGCTGTGGCAATATATCGGAGGGGAAACTTTCTCAGGTCAAGGGCCACATTCCCTTCTGGGCAGCTTTCTGAGGGCCACATGCTGCTGGTGGGCAGGGCCAGAGGCAACAGTGTGCAGAGAACAAAGCTATAGACTTCGCTTTTGCACCATGTGCTAGCTTCTACACAGGATCATCCACCCTTCTTTGTCATCCGCGACCCTTCCCCTCTGCAGGGAGGTGGGACCGATTCGGATGGTCCGCCCCCACCACTTAATGGATCCAAATGGTTTCCAGTGAGTGGTAGGGGATGCTTTATCCCATGTTGATGGCCTTTCAGCTGATTCCCTGGTGGTCTGCTGGAATGTGGAGTTAACCGGGGCTATTGACTGTTTGGCTCTGAAGCGCCCTCTCCGATTGCATGGAGCCCGGACAGCCCCGTGGTTTTCCACAGATTTGAGGGCAATGAAACAATCGCTGTGATGGCAAGAGTGTTGGTGGCGGATAACTCATTCTGAAGCTGACCGGACACGGGTTAGAGCTCAATGTCAAGCCTACCAAGTGGCGGTAGCGACGGCGAAGAAGACTTTCTTCACTGCCTCTATTGCATCTGCAGAAAACAGCAGCAGGAGACTCTTTCAGGTGGTTCGCAATTTAACGGAACAACCTGCTACATCTTGTGGCCAGTACGGGCCACAAGATTTCCTGCAATGATTTTGCAAAGTTTTTTGCAGATAAAGTCGCTCAGATTCGGGAAGAAGTAGACTCCACCGTGGGAGCAGAGCCGGGGCGGGAGAATGCTAGAGTCCTGTCTAGTCAAGTTGTGTGGGATCAATTCCAATCTGTTACCCCCGAGGATGTGGACAGGCTGCTTGGACGAGTCAAACCAACCACCTGTCTCCTTGATCCTTGCCCATCCTGGCTTATAAAAGCTAGCCGGGAAGGGCTGGGCGATGGGATTTGTGGGGTGGTGAATGCTTCTCTCTGTGAGGGAGAATTCCTAGACCCGCTGAAAGAGGTGGTTATTAAACCCCTTCTTAAAAAACCATCTTTAGATGCGGCCAATATGGCCAAGTATCGCCCAGTCTCAAATCTTCCATTCTTGGGCAAGGTGATTGAGCAAGTGGTTGCTGAACAACTCCAGGCACTCCTGGAAGAAGTGGACCATTTGGATCCCTTCCAGTTGGGAATCAGGCCTCATCATGGGATTGAAACTGCCTTGGTCGCACTGGTCGATGATCTCCAGAGGCAGGCTAGGGACAAAAGTGAGAGCTGTTTCCTAGTTCTGCTGGATCTCTCAGCGGCATTTGACACCATTGACCATAACATCCTTCTGGATCGTCTAGAGGGGCTGGGAGCTGGGGGCACTCTTATACAGTGGTTCCGTGCCTGCCTCCTGGGCTGTGTCCAGAAAGTGGTGTTGGGGGATAAGTGTTCAGACCCCTGGGCTCTCACTTGTGGGGTGCCTCAGGATTCTGTCCTCTCCCCCCATGCTTTTCAACATCTACATGCAGCTGCAGGGAGAGATCATCAGGGGGTTTGTATTGGGTGTTCATCAATATACGGATGATACCCAGCTCTACTTCTCTTTCAAATAAGAACCAGTGACGGCGGTGAAGGTCCTGTGTGAGTATCTGGAGGCAGTTGGAGGATGGATGGCAGCTAACAGATTGAGGTTGAATCCTGACAAGACAGAAGTACTGTTTTGGGGGGACAGGAGGCGGGCGGGTGTGGAGGACTCCCTGGTCTTGAATGGGGTAACTGTGCCCCTGAAGGACCAGGTGTGCAGCCTGGGAGTCATTTTGGACTCACAGCTGTCCATGGAGGCGCAGGTCAATTCTGTGTACAGGGCAGCTGTTTACCAGCTCCATCTGGTATGCAGGCTGAGACCCTATCTGCCCGCAGACTGCCTCGCCAGAGTGGTGCATGCTCTGGTTATCTCCCGCTTGGACTACTGCAATGCGCTCTATGTGGGGCTACCTGTGAAAGTGACCCAGAAACTACAACTAATCCAGAATGTGGCAGCTAGACAGGTGACTGGAAGTGGCCGTCGAGACCATATAACACTGGTCTTGAAAGACCTACATTGGCTCCCAGTACGTTTCCGAGCACAATTCAAAGTGTTGGTGCTGACCTTTAAAGCCCTAAACGGAAGCCGCCCAGGAAAAAACACTCTGGGTACAAAGCAGAAACAGTGAGGGGAATGGCCTGGGGGGACTTCCGGGGGCCAGGCAGGAGGTCTAAATGTTTATTACTAGTAGTAGTAGTATTTCCAGTTGCTAAGCAGCTGCCAGCCAGCAATGCAGCAGCCTAGTTGCAAGGTATACAATTTTGTTCTCTTCTCATTGCAAAGAAGAAATTAAACATCTATAAAGCAGCTCCTCTGGCTGCAGGTCTGGGAAGGATTTGGCCCCCTGCCTGAGGTTCCCCACCCCAGTGTATATGATGTAGATCAATTCAGTAAAGAATTGCTTATCCTGGACTTGCCAATCTTGGACACAGTAACATCTCCCAATGGTGAAATATCACCTTCCGGGCATAAGGGAAACCTTCCGGAAGATTAAATTGTGTGTGCCTCCTTCCTTACTATTTGGGTATTAGCTAGACTTCATCCCTGCTTTTAATCTCCCTGTTACAAAGGCAGATGTAAACAGAAACCACCTACCTTCTTTTGGGGGGGCGTTCTCCTGGTGCCTATACTGTGGGCAGGAGAAGCTGGCAGGGGCAGAATCTGTCTGCCTTCTGTACAGGGAAACTTTAGCAAATAGCACATCTCTCCAGGTTTCAGTTTGTAGAAGGCTTTGATGAAGAAAAGGAACACTGCTTGATTTGACCCACAGTGTGCTAAAGAGCCCCTTAGAACATTAGTCTCAGGTGGATGACTTTTATGTTTGAAGGACTAACTCATGGGTAGGCAAACTAAGGCCCAGGGGCCGGATCCAGCCCAATTGCCTTCTCAATCCGGCCTGCAGATGGTCCGGGAATCAGCATGTTTTTACGTGAGTAGAATGTGTCCTTTTATTGAAAATGCATCTCTGGGTTATTTGTGGGGCATAGGAATTCGTTCATTTCCCCCCCTCCAAAATATAGTCCAGCCCCCCCATAAGATCTGAGGGACAGTGGACTGGCCCCCTGCTGAAAAAGTTTGCTGACCCCTGGACTAATTGCTGCAACAAAATGCTGCAGCATAGGGTGCTCCTCTTCAGGATTCCTGCCAGCTATGCTCTTTCTTGGACACTCCAACCCCCACTTTTCTCTGGTTTACACACACAAAGATACGGTTTCCCCCTTGTAACCACACAGGGCTTCTGGTCTGGAAAGATTTCAGAAATGGCTCTTGGGATTTTCCTCTCCACTGCCAGCTGACTGCTTCTCTGGGAAACTTTGGAGAGCTGAACACCGTTTAAAGGCTTGTTGAAGAAAGAAATGTGGGCCCCCAACTCCATGTGTATGTTCTGTGTCTAACACCCATCTTCACCATCTATTTATTTTATAGCAGTGTATAAATTAAATTCTTATTAATAATAATAGCAACAACAACAATAATAACCATCATAATGCTGGCTGGGCTGGTGGGAGTGGGAGTCCAAGCCCATCTGGATGGGGAACCTGTGGCCCTCCAGCCACATAGCCCATGGCTCAGCCACAGGTTATCAGAAGGCTCTCCAGTGGGAAAGCTGGGTCCCTCGGGCATGCCCCCTGGTTCTTCAACACAGGCTGCTCCTCTAAGATGCTTTGCTGTGGGAGCTCCAGGTCACCCACCAAAGAGGATTCCTCCAGTGAGGGGAGCATAGCCCTTTCCTTGTGGGCAGCAGCCTTCTCAGCAACGGATTCAGAGATACACTGCCTCTGAATCTGGAGGTTCCATTCAGCCATTGAGAGATGAATGGGAGAGTCTCAGATGTGAGCACTTGTAGTTCTGATCTTTCTTTTTTTTCCCCTTTTTCTTCCCTTTCAGTTTAAATTTGTGGGACTGCAGAGTTATTCCTGCACACCGGAAAGCCTGTGCAAGGTTCTGGCCACAGATTTCCCCTTTGAGGTAAGCAGTCATCTGTTGGCACCACAGCTCTGTCACTTTCAACCCCAAGACTTGTATTCCTGGTGGAGAAGACCCCCCCAAAGAACCTGGAGAGTAGGAGCCCCAGGGGCAACAGGTTCCAGCTAAGCAATACTGCTTACTGCCCCCCCCAATTAATAAAGTTTTCTGGACCAATAAAAAAGTATTTCTTCATGCAGCACATAGTTAAGCAATGGAACTTGCTCCCACAGAAGGCACTGATGGCCACCAATTTGGATGGCTTTAAGGAGGATGCAAAAGATTACCCGGGAGGGACTGCAGGCCTTGGACTGAAAAAGCCCTCAACCCCTTGCTTGATGCAGACAGCCCAGAGCTGTGATTGGGCACCCCCAAGTATGGCTTCCAGCCTGTGCTTGACCGTCCAAGCGAGTGAGAGCCAGCCTGCCCCCAAGGGGAGTCGGCTCTGATGTCCTGCTGCTGTTACGGTTTCAGAGTTTTGTCCAATGTTGTGCTGAAATTGCCTTCCTTTAACTTAAGCCCCAAAGATCTGACCCTGTCCTTTTGAGGGAGCAGAGAACGTGTGTGCCACAAATATTCGGATTAGCAGGAAGGAAGAGAAATGGGCCAGTACCATGTGGATGGGGAGCAGATGGCAGCTGTCAGTCACTCGCGAACATGGCTGGGGCTGGCGCAGGCATCGGCTACAGCTCAGGAGGTAGTTTTTATGCTGTTGCCCTCTAGAAGCACTCATTCTCTCCACTGGACCAAACTGTTAAGAAGCATTAGAAAGAACTTTCTGATAACAGCTGTTTGGCAGTGGAACAGACTACTTCAGAAGGTGGTGAACTCTTCTTTATTGGAGGTTTTTAAAAAGAGGTTGGGTGCTCTTCTGTTGGGGATTACTTAGCTGCTGTCATGAGAGCCTTTGGGGGGCTTAAGAGTGAGTAAAACAGTTCTCTAAGCAAATGAGTAAATAAGGCCATCAGTCGCTGCTGTCATGATGGTTCTATGCCACGTCCAGGTTTAGAGAACAGAAGCACTAAGAGGAGCCTGCTGGATCCGGCCCATGGGGGCCCCTCTAGGCCAGTATCCTGTTCCCACAGTGGCCAGCCAGATGTCTGTGGGGAACCTGCAAGTGGGATTCAAGCACTTGAGTCCCCTCCCCTCGTATGATCTCTACCAAATGGCATTTACAACCCTAAGACCTCCAGCTATAGGGTGGTATATAAATAAAATAAAAATCCAGAAGCATGGCTGCCTCCGACCATGGAGGCAGAACATAGCCATGGTGGCTAGGAGCCATCGTCAGCTCTCTCCATGAATTTATCTAGTCCTCTTTTAACCAGGCAAGTTGATGGTCATCACTGCATTTTGTGGGAATGAGTTCCATGGTTTAACTCTGCACTGTGCACAGATGGACTTCCTTTTATCTGTCCTGAATCTTCCAGCACTCAGAGGGAGCAGGCTCTGGATACCAGTCTGTGGGGACCTCAGGTGGAGAGGGCCGTTGCCCTGACAGGCTTCCCAGAGGCATCAGGTTAGGAAGTGGGAATGTGTTGGATTTGCTTACAGACTCCATGCTGTTGTTGTGCAAGAGGGCTTAACAACTTGTTTGTGCCACATGTTGGAACCAGACGTTCCGAGTCTGCCTGTCCTCCAGCTCCCTCCCTTCAGATCACATTCTTCCTTTCTGACCGAGTCTCAGGGAATCAAACACCCTTTCCCTCCCCTCTTGCTTGCAAGGAGAGGCAAGCAGGAGGAAGCCTATTTTCCTGCTGCTGCTGCTGCTGCTGCTGCTGCTGCTGCTGCTGCTAGTGAAAGAAAGTGAAGCAATAAGAGATGCAGCTCTGGAGACCTTCTCTTAAGAACCAAAGCAGAGCATCTGCTGGATCCGGCCAAAGGGGTCCAGCTGGTCCAGCCTCCTGTTCTCACAGTGGCCAACTGGATGCCCCCAAGGAAACCTGCAAGCGGGATTTGAGCACAAGAGCAGCCCTCTCCCCTCCTGTGGTCTCCCTGTTGCTCCAGCTTCAAGACGTAGCGCAGACGCCGACTCACAGAGAGACTCACTGACTGGCCAATGAGCTCAAGAACCTGGACCATCAATCGTCCCCTATCTGCCTCATTCTTTTTTAAAACCATCCAGTTTGGTAGCCATCACTGCTCCTGTGGGAGTTCCATAGTTTAACTGTGTGCTGCTTCCATGTACTTCCATGTAGAATGGAGCCCTCAATGGCTCCAGCAACTGGCAGAGCTCAGATCAGAATGATCCTCCAAATCCAAGTGGAGAGTCTCCTGTTTCTGAGCAGCCCCCAGCCCCAGCTATTGAACATTGCATATTCTGACCAGGCTGGTGTAGCAGTAGCTGGATTTGAGCAGTATTTGGCAGGTCCCCGCTTTCCAAGCCATCCTGGGACCAAGGGAGGCGCCGGAGTTGCTGGCCAGGATCCAAGGAAACTGCTGAGGAGTCCCTTGCATGTTCTAACTGAAATGCAGCTGTGCCAGCAGAACTTGGCCAATGGAAGCCCATTTTGACCACACACACAAATGGAGACTCCGTTCTTCCTCATTTAAGTTTAGTGCAGCTAAGCCTAGCTTGGGAGTAAAGGCTCCTTTTTTGTTAATGACTTGATTCAGTAATATGATGATGATGATGATGATGATGATGATGATGATGATAATAATAATAATAATGGTTTTTATTTATACCCCGCCCTCCCCAGCCAAGGCCGGGCTCAGAGCGGCTTACAAGCAATAATAAAAACAAGTTAAATGATTACAACTTAAAAACAAAATTAAAAATACAACATTAAAATATTGAAACATTAAAATATTAAAATGTAGCCTCATCGCAGGAGGAGAAGGAAAAGAAAAAAGAAAGAGAGGGAGGGAATCAAATTGGCTCCAAGCCAAAGGCCAGGCGGAACAACTCTGTCTTACAGGCCCTGCGGAAAGAGATCAGATCCTGCAGGGCCCTGGTCTCATGAGGCAGAGCGTTCCACCAGACCGGAGCCAGAGTTGAAAAGGCCCTGGCTCTGGTTGAAGCCAATCTAATTTCCTTAGGGCCCGGGACCACTAGGGTGTTGCTATTTATGGACCTTGAGGCTCTCCGTGGGGCATACCGGGAGAGGCGGTCCCGTAGGTACGAGGGTCCTAGGCCGTGAAGGGCTTTAAAGGTCAAAAGCAGCACCTTAAATCTGATCCTGTACTCCACCGGGAGCCAGTGCAGCTTGAAAAGCACTGGGTGAATATGCTCCCATGGCAGAGACCCCGTGAGGAGCCTCGCTGCAGCATTCTCCACCCGCTGGAGTTTCTGGGACAGCTTCAAGGGCAGCCCCGCGTAGAGCGAATTACAGTAGTCAAGCCTGGAGATGACCGTCGCATGGATCACTGTGGCCAGGTCGGGGCGGGAAAGGTAAGGGACCAACTGCTTGATGCGGCGAAGGTGGAAAAATGCTACACTTAGCTGTGTGGGTGACTTATAGATGTTGGATATCACAGCACTGCCCAACCTGCAAAGCATGGTTTGGTGATCTGGGATTTCCTGCAAGCTTAAGTGGGCTCTGCCCCTTCCTTTTCCTTGGGGCAGGTGCACTTGTTGGCTCAGTGGAACATAGAAAGAACCTGATTTATCCTGATGAATAGACCATTTGTCCATTTAACATCAGGATAAAGTATTGTCTTCATACAGACTAGCATTGTCCTAAGCTGGAGATTCAGACGGTTCACGACATACAGACAGTTCTGGCCAGATAAAAGAAAGGACTTCTTCACACAGAACATGGTTAAGCTATGGCACTCACTCCCACAGGAGGCAAGTTGTGTGGCTTTCAGAGAGGTTTCGGCAAATTCATGGAAGAGAAGACTATCCATGCCACCTGGCCATAATGCCTCTGCTCTGCCTCCCCTGTCAGGCAGGAGCGCTTCTGAATGCCAGTTGCTGGAAACCACGGGGGGGGGGGCTCTTACACTCAGGTTCTGCTTGCAGATTTCCCACAGACATCTGGTTAGCCACTGGAGACAGGATGCTGGAAACAGGTGAGCCATTGGCCTGATCCAGCAGGTGCTTCGTATGTTGTATGAATGCTGGTAATCTCTAGCTCCAGTTAGTTTAGGAATGATTATGTTCCACTGGAGAGAGCCCGTTCCGTCGCAGCCAAGCCATACCTCCCTCCTGTGATAGGAACTGCCTGGTGTCTTCTGCATCTGAAGAAACTCAGCACCATTTGCATGAGAACAAATTAGATCCCTGACTTCTTTGTTAACGAGAAATAAGCTTGGTACGTCTCTTTCGGGAATGTGTAATTAGTAAGAAATGGTGTGGGGTCATAGCTGGGAAATTCCAGGCTATAACATGTCATTCGGCCTGCTGTTTGCATTGTTTGGCAGTGTAAGAAAGAAAGTACTCATGGATGATGGACAGATGATGATTTGTTACTAACGGCAGCCAGGCAGGCGATTGGCCATAAGTGGAAACAGAGGGACCTGCCATCACTGAGAAATTGGATGAGTGGGATCTGGGATGTGCAGTAATGTTGAAGCTTGCAGATATTTTTAAATACAGACAGTAAAACAAGCATTGTAGACTACAAGCCCCATCCTCCCCTGAGCATTGGCCATGGTGGTCAGAGCTGCTAGGAGTTATAATCTCACAGCAATCTGTAGGTTGGGGGAAAGCTGTGACTTTTCCAGAGTATTGCATGTAACAAGTCAATGCATCAGTTTTGTAGAGAAATGCTCCATGTTCATGATGCACCAAAAATAGGTACAGGATAATACTCAACCCTGTAGTTTATTAAGAGTTGTGCAGTGCATATAATTAGGATAATACAGATAATTAGGTTATTTATCCTACTTTCCCCCCTTCTCTATCATTTTGGAAACTTCTAATTTCCAAGGATGATTATTGTTCAGTGTATGATTGTGTTACTATGTGTTTGATTTTTCTCTCTGCAAAAATAAAAAAACAATGTTAGCACAAACCTGAGAAACAGACTAAAGTAAACACAGAGAAACAGGGCTGT